CAAGAAAGGAGGTAAATAAATAAATAAATGCCTAGTTACACGACTCAAAATGGGGCCAAGGAGAAAAAAGGCAGTTAGAAATCCATCAGAATGTCATTTTGTGTGTCTCTGCCTCTCCCTCTCTGCCCATCCAGATAGATATCAGCTCATTGCAAACCTCACTCCCATTAACCTGTTCACAGGTTGCCAAGAGAGGAAGTAGTATTTTTCACCTTTCTATCAACTCCCCCTGCCTATAGACACCCACTCACCCCCACCCTTTTCTTCTTCCCCTTCTTTTGGTCTGTTTGAGTAAGTTCCACAAAAGATAATTTCCTTTTCAAATTACAGCAGGCCCTTTCACTGACCCGATGGCATTGTGATAATGCAGTGCGGGAGCTGAGAGTGTCTCTGATGAGGTGCGAGAGCAAATGTACTGGCCAGCACTAATGTCTTGTCAACGCCATACTTGGACATGGGCGCCTATAGCACACAGCACACAGCCTCAGACTTGTTGAGCAGGGCAGCTCAGTCGGAGTCCTCTGAAGCAGTTTGGGCTACAGAAAAACCCAGGACGATTAGCTGACACTCGCTTCACACAGATCTTGTTGTGCATGTGAAGGAACAGTATGTCCTTTTGTAAATAGCCAGAAAAAAAGGAAAAATAACAACTTCGGATAGGAGGCCTCAACAGGATGTGTGAATGACTTGCAGAAGCAGCTTGCGGGCTGTGTCGTGATTCATGAGCTAATCGCCTCCCAGTCCAGTCAGGCATAAGAAACAGAGAGAGGAGGAGGTGTCAGGTACAGCGAGGAATACTTTGATATTAGAATTCAAGGCATCTATGTCTTGCCTTGAGCAGGATAATCCCATTATGCCTCAGGTCACAGCAGTGCACACAGAGAGAGAGGCACAACTCACTTCAAAATAAACTGCTTACGGATGACGAGAATAACACAAACAGCCGTCAGAAATAACATCAAACTCCGACCCAACTGAATTAGAACATCCAATTTAGGGACGAAAAATATCCCAGATATTGAAAAGAGAGAATAACACAATTCGATTAAAAAAAAGGGGAAAGTTTTTCCAGTTAGACTTTTACAGTTCATCTTGGGTGTTTTCAAGATCGAGTGGTTTTTCATTACAGTCCGTCAGCTTTCATTATGAAATGAGAAAATCTAATTTTGCATGGTGTATCTGACAGTTTTTCAAAGTAATTCATCCTGTCAAGATAAACCCTGGCAAACCCACCAGATGGTGTTTGTGTAACTGAGCTCTGTTTTCAGTGTGCACATTTCGTAAAGTGCAAGACCCTTCTTGATATAGATCTAAATGTGCATTGTGCTTTGTTTCTGTTTTTCTTCGGGAGAAGGAAAATTGTCTCTACCAATCTGTGATTACAATCTTGCTTGATTTAGATAAGCCTAAAAACAAATTGGTTGTTAGTCAATTTATTTTCAGTTAGGTATTTTCATAATTCATGTTACATATTCCTCGATAGAAAAACACTAAAAAGAAATAGAAAGCTGCAACTTTGAGATACTGAAATGTTGCTCTCATTTTGGCCTTCCATTAAAAATGGGATTGGTGAGTTGTGTTATACATTTCCAATAAGATGTGCGCACCTCCTTGACCAGAGCTAGAAAATGCCATTTTACTAATTTTCTTATTTCAGATGGCTGACCAGGGAGGAGGTGTGGGAGGACTAATCAGCAGCTTCAGTCTGTTGAACATGCAATGAAACCCACTGCTGTGTACGCTAATAACCTACAAACTATAACCCAACTCAAATAATCTAATTAGTAGAAGAAGTTCAGTGTGCAGGGTGAGGTACTTGTCTTACTAATAATAAATAATAACTACTAGTAATTTTATAGAATTGTAATATTTTACAAACATTTAGCATATTCATAAAAGTTTTAAAGGAATAGCTTGACATTTTTGGAAATACATTTATTCACTTTTTTGCCAAGAGTAAGATGAGAAAATTGATATCACTCTCGTGTAAACATGAAGCAACCTACAGCAGCCAGTTAGCATAGCTTAGCACAAAAATCTATGTACCAGAATAGTTCTTGGAATCAGGGAAGCAGCAGAGATTCCAAGAAGTCATGTCATGTAATTTATACAATTGTGTTAATCGGTGAGCTTTAGAGGAGCTGGCTGGCTGATTTTGTTCCAGTTGAATAGAGCCAAGCTCAATGTTTCCAGTGTTTAGTTAATCTCTAGTTCAGTCAGCCAACTCACGTTGGAAATGTTTAGCATATTTAGATTTTGGCGACTAGGCTCTGACCTCATCACTCCCCGCAGATATGTTTACATATTGATATTGGGGAGTGACGCGCAAATACCTTAACCCCCAGTGGGAGCCTATAGGTGGATGCTGGGGTGGTGGTGGGGCTTACAGCGCAGCAGGCAGCAATAGCTTACAGAGCAGCAGCAATACGGATGCAGGGCAACAGCGGCATTGACAGAGCAGAGGGAGAGCTGGGAAATTGTGCAGTTTAAATAGACCGCCAGATTGGAAGGGTGCGCTTGGTTAGTGATTATGGAATAAGGCATGTCATGTGTGTAATCAGCGCAGCTGAAGTTGACTGCCTGAACTAGCTCGCAGACTTCGCTCCATTTGTAAATTTGTATTTACCTTATGCCACATTTTGGTGACGTACCTGCTCTGACTGGCTAGTACTCATTGCCTTCCTTGGTTTAGTTGGTTGAACATTATCACAGAATGAATTTTAGCCATGGAGCTCGACTTACTGTTGACTGACAGCAATATAGCTCTTCTGTGGTATACACAGGACATTAATAGTGCATGAATTCCTGGCTAAAAGCTTATTAAAAGACCACAGAAGCCACAGCAACAATCATAACATAAATCCTTGGGTGCGTTGGGTGCAGAGCTCCATATAAACAGTGATTGGCTAGTTTTGTAATGAAACACAATGTGACTGCTTGAACCCACCAATACCTGAACTGAAGACATTGTGATAGCATGAGTAGTGATGCCATCTCTTAGCTTAGAAAAAGAAATGTACAAACTACATACTACTACACAACAGGTGACTTATCCACAGTATGTGATCCGTGACCGCTGCCAAACTCATCCCATCTGCATCCTTCCCGACTCATTGTACTGCAGAGAATGAAAGACCGAAGTCAATAGCAGCGCACAGAATTGTCAAACCGCCAGCCCTCAGATCCACGCTGTGGTTTCCAGACACGCAGAATGCATTTCCATTCAACTTTTGTGAAGGTCTTTTATGGCAGAGCAACAAAACCCAGAGGAGTCGTGGTATGAAAAGATCTTTCATTATTAATAGAATATTAGCCCACATAAAGGTGAATGACTGAAGGATTGTGTTTCAACACTGCAGGGGCTGTAAAGTGCACAGAGGTTAATTCTCTGATCCAAGGGTAGATTTGTATCATTGTTTGTAGATAGAAAGAGTTTTTCCAGGGGATTGGATTCATGTCTTCTCTCTTTCTGTTCCTTGGAACACTGTGGTGGATTGCCTGGTCTGATTAATCTTAATGAATTATGCAAATAGCCGTTATCTCAAATGATTTAGCAATGTTTCTGTATTGTTTTATTAATGCACTTTTGAATTACTCCGTATAATCACGTAGCCTTTCCTCAGCCGTTTGCTGTTTGTAATTCATCGCCAGCTCTTTATTAAATCCATGGTGGTCTCCGGCGAATTGCATGCAGGAATGAGAAATTAGTCATTACTGTAATTTAATGATTTCTAACCAAACAAGAAGCAACCTGGATCACTAACCATAGCAGCCCTCCGCACTTCTCCCCTTCAGCGCCAGTCCCTCGGGTCTGATCTTTGGGAGCGAGCCATCTACATTTTTGCTTAATTAATTATGTTTAGTATAAGGAGCATTCTGCGGTGAATGCACTGTTTCAATTACAGACGGAAATTGACTTACAAAATATAAAATTCCCCACAAAGTGGTGGTTTGTTTGGAGTCTAGACATCCTTACAACTGACTAAAGCTTTCTCTGCTGCAACAGGCAACATTTCTAGAAATTCTTTGATTATCGTTCATGCACATATGGTATGCTGATGGTTGTGTTGGAGTCATAAACATGACAGCTATGGAGAAAAATTACATTGCAGAAATGTCTCTTATTATCACATCAGAGAAGGGGCCCCTGTATTATAGATACCATAGTTTCCTGTCCCTAAGGTGTAAATGTCACATGCAGGTGAAATATAAATACATCTCTGACTGTTTTCTGCCTCCTCAGAGCAGCCTGCCTCTAACCCGTTTGACTTCCACAGAGATGGGAATGGAGCTGCATGTTGATATCGGTAATGATAGTAGCCACAGTATATATATGAGTCAAAATGGATGGACAGCTCCTTCACCATTGGACTACACAGATTCAGACGACTAGGATGGCCACAAGGGCTGAATAATCCTTTTCCGTTGTGCTTTGGTCTTTTCTTTATCCATTTATTTCCCCATTACCCAGCCTGAACGCCTCAAAAGGTTTACTTTCTGTAACCTTTTAATGACATGCACTCACAATCCTTTTGGGATTTTTAACAGGCAACGCCTTACAAGAAATCATTTGGACCACCACCCATCACCAATCATTGGTTATCATTAATTCAGCACAATAATGACAGGCTTGGAGGACGACAACATCTAGCTTTGGAAATGAATCAAATAGGATTAGGGTTGTGTTAGGTTGAGAGCTAATTATCAGTCCCTCCCTGGACCAGATTTCAAATGGCTTTTTGTGAAGTCTGTTCATTTTAAGAAAACGGTGCGGTGAGATATTTCCTTTGTATGTTTGGCCTATTTTTGCATTTCCTGAATATTACATTTCAACACAACAATTTGTTAGCTATGAGCTCTCCTCCTCTTTTTTTGTCTTATTATTCGCTTGACCTGCTAATTTGAAGTCTCAGCCATTCTTACCTATACAGCATTGTGGCCTGGCATACAAAGAGTATCAACACAGACTGTAAAAACCCAGATTTTCCTGAACAGTGATATCCATTGGGTTAGGTTTATTGAGATAATATCGACATTTGTAATCAATGGTAGTCACCAGGCTTCAAAAACAACAGATACCATTAAAACATTTGGCAGAACTCAGCTGTGTTGACCCTTGGTGACCTGTAGTCAAACATCATTACATTTTTTCTGGGTTTTATAGTTGTGGCATTGTCTTTTGTCTTTAAAAATAAGACATGACATCCTAACAAACTTAAGAAAGCCAAACACTTAAAAGTATTAAATCAACAAAAAGAGAAACAGAGGAGATATCTGCTGCATAAGGCTAAAAGGAATGAAAATGCTCATGATCTCACTAGATCTTCAACACAGATATGCATCAAGAGTCCTGTGGCAAGAAAATAACACAAAAGTTTCACATCACATGGTTTTGTCTTAGGGTGATTTTTTTTTTTTTCTGGTGTAATCCACAGTCTTTTAGTCAATAAATATCTTCATGGTTGAGTCTTCTAGTCCATAGGAATAAAACTATAATACAAAGAGAGATTTGGTGGGCAGTAGAGTTCAGAGACAGCTACTGTTGATGCTGGATCTAAAGTCAGGAATCTTTTTGGATATGTAGTCTTATATGATGCTCCATGGTCCTTTTCTTCCATTCGTTCAGTGGAATGTCCGTGATTATTGTCCTTGTTGGTCCCTGGTTTCCACCAATCCTCAAAACACATGATATCCAAATGTCCTACGGTGTTGGTCAAAGAAGCAACGTCTGGTTCCAATCAAGGTTATCCTGGAAACAGACAACTATCGTGTGACCTAAAAAGAAAGGGAAAGAAAAAGAAAAAAAACAGGAATTAGAAGAAAATTGTGTCAGTGACAGGAATGGATGCTGGGAGTAAAAAGGGATTTGAGTAATTAATGATGACAAATAGTATTAGTAACACTAAAAAGCAGTGCCATCTGACAAGCTTATATGACAGAAACCACTGGGAGAGGAGTGGAATAATTAAACCCACTGTATTTATTACAGCTGAGCCATCTTTAGCTAAGCAGAAGTGTAGCCACACACACACACACACACACACACACACACACACACAAAATCAAGTTTAATAAAGAATTGTGTTTAGAATAAAAGAAAATCCATGTCCACCACACTTTCCTTAAGCCCAAGTTTTTTTTTACATAAATAAGCGCTTAACTTTTCGTGTGTGTGTGTTTATTTCTTTAAGATGTATACTCTAAGTACGTCTATGTCTATGTATCTGTTTTCTGAAGACTGTACTCTGTATATTTTTTTGTTACTATAAATTTTAATAATTCTGTAAATTAATTCATGGCCTCATATCTCATCCACTTAAACCAAATCTTTTCTTCTCTTTCTAACTCTATAAGTTATTCTCTCAGTTTCTGAGATTTCCAGTATTGTTTCTTTCGGTCTTTGAACTCATGGAGTTAAGTTTTTTAGTTTTTTTTGCTGATTCCTAGTTATTTGCTTCATGGCTTCAATTCTGAGTATTCTATATAAGCATACCCACTATATCCACTATGACTGAATGCAAGAATAATTAAAAAACTAGGTAGAAAAAGAAAATGAGAGAATTTCCACATAAATTCCTTCCAATATTTATAATTTGTTTTTCTATGAAAAACTGGCTTCCACTCTTCCTCGTTCAACTGATCGCCTATTTTAGAAATCCATTTTTGTTGAATGCCATTATTGGTGTCTTTGACAATGTTTTCGATTACCTTGTTAAGATTTTTAATCAGAAAGGTAATTACAGGGTGGATTTCTTTAGTAGTTTTTATATTTATTTTTAAGCAACACCTGCTAAACGTCCATTAGCCGGCATTGTCTTTCTGCATATAACAGCATGCTGACATTACCATTTAGCTCAAATAAACGCTGTTATGATCATTCACGTTTTTGTCTATCAACTGATGAGTGATTTTTACTTTCTACCATCGACTTGTCATGAAGACAAACTCTTGTTTTAGTGCTGCACATCTAGCACTAGCCTATCTGTCAAAACACAGGTTGTGACAGGTTGAAGGTGTGTACATTCCCAGCTGGTGTGTTTATAATTCAAACATCTGTGGTGTTATGCAGCAAGAGAGAGAAGACAGTGAGAAGCTAGAAGTCAGACGTAATGCAATGTACATCATGCTCTGTGATTTTCATGCAAACAGAGGGAATATTATTATTCATGATGGCATACTGCTGGCATAAGTATTCTCAGGCATTTTCATGAATATTAATCTAAAAGATTGAAAGATGCAGTTTGTACTACTCTCACTTTAAGCATAACTCTAAAAATACTCGTGGAGGTGAATGTTGTTCCTTGTTGGTTTGCCCTTTAAAAGTAGAACGCAAGTAACTTTTTGACTTGCCCTCTGATGTAGGAGGCTACTGTAGAACACACACACACACACACACACACAGAGAGAGAGAGAGAGAGAGAGACACACGCAAACACACTGAACTAAACACAGGTGTTCCTGTGTGAATATTTGCACATAACTGTCATTCAATTAGCAGTTGGCAGGGCCTCACCAGTTTAACCAACAAGGGGTTTACTGCACACAATCAGTCTACCGAGCAATACAATTCCAATATATTGTGGAAGTGTGATTTTTATGCTGCAACTGAAGAAACAGTGCTTGCTGTTTGGGGAGTCACAATTTAATTTTCATCTCCATGTGACAATCCTCAAAAATCAAGGGTGTGAGAGAGCATATGGAAATGACTTCATGTTGTTACTGTTCCAGCAGCAGGTTGTGGAAATACAAATGCAATGAAACCAACACAAACCTCCTCCTCTCTGGAACTCTCTCCATCCTCCCATAGGTGTTCAAATGATTCACAACATTTCCATTCTCATCAAACCCTTCAACGACCCCTTGTGTCCTGTATGAAAGCATCTACATTTTTTCTCACTACTCATTCATTCAGGTTTTTCCTTTGATTTGTCACCTGTCTTTACATTCATATATTGAGTTGAGTCAGTTATTTTTAGTGATGGCTTGCAGCACACTTCTACTCGCAGCAATATTTTGGAACTGCTGCACTGCTGCAATAATCAACTCATAAATGCATGTACAAGCACATTCATGCTGAATATTGTTGTATTGATAATTGTTATGTAGACAATTTCTATTTTACACATGTTCTGTGCTTGTTGTTTCCTTCTAATTATAAAAGAAAAGAATAAAACATAATATTACAAATGGGAACACATTTATAATTGCAGGAGAAGCTTTGAAAGGAAATTTCACCTCATAAATATAAGGGGTAAAAAGAGTTCAGACAAACAAAATTAAAACAAAACAATGTATGTGGCAGCAGAAACAAAAGTGTGAGGTAAAGTGAAACCTTATCAAAGCAATTAGCATGCTGTGTGTTGTGGGTGTCACTGTGAGCGTTATCGGTGAGTAAACAGACAAAGGGGAATCAGGAGAACAGAAGGCAGCTCTCAGGGTTTGATGCTTAAGCTGCTTCAGGATGAAAGAATACACTTGACTGGTCAGCTGTAGGTTCAAAGACCCATTGACAAACAAACTAAGACCCTACCTTTGATGGAGAGCTATGACGCACACGTGTGTGTGCACGTGTGTGTGTCCCATACTCATTATAATAAGGAATATAAAGATATTAAGAGTTTCAATGCAATGATTGTCTGATTCTTTTGAGCTTTCCTTATTAAAAGTATATTATTTCATGTTTCAACGTTGCTCTAAATGCATAGATTGCATGGCCAGTGTCAGCCTTCAGCAATGTCTTAATTTACTATTAAAAAGAAATCAATCATCAATAGAATCATTTAGCTCCTCTTTTCAGGCTATCCATTGACTAAACGTCTCACACTGTCTTTCATCCTTTTAAATCAATTCACTCACACTCTGTTTTTGACTGACAATATAAGCTGAGAACTAGAGTCTAACAGACAGCTTGGTTCAATTTCAGTGACATGAGCTCTTTTGTAGTGAAAACATTAAACATATTCTGAAGCAGATTGAAACCACAAGAACTAACTGGTCCTAAAACACTACAATAAAACAGTTAAATACCTCAGTCCGGTGATTAGGTGAGGTGCTATCCAAACGGAGTTCATGGAGCAAACTATAATACGCGCCCAGTTGTGTTTTCCGTATACCCAGCTTTGATGTCTGCATCTGGCTTCTATGCTGCATAATACCAAGAAGCTTCCTTTGGTTTGTGCCCGTTCATTTGAGTGAGAGACGGACAGAGAGACAGCTGTGGTCAGGCTATATAGACAGTGAATGAGAGTGAGAGCACGCCGGTAGTGAGAAAGCCCACTACACGATCCTGTCACTGTTTTAGTCTGAATACAACTTCTTTTACAGCCATTTAAAACAACAGGAGACTGAAACAAAAACATAGAAATTATGCATTTTAATTGTTGATACTATAGCGATGTAATGAAAATAATCAAACCATATTGTATACAGCAGATGGGTAAAATGCTTGCTCATGAGACCAGAGTTCAATTCATGGCAGCAGCACCCTCAGCTTGACTGCATATACCATATACACAGCTGGCAGTGTTTGTGGGTGGGAAGCCAGTGAAGGATTATGTCATTGTCAATGCACTAGCGACTCTTACTGATTGGATTGGACAGCACTGCAGAGTGGCTGGAGTCTAAGGAGATATGGCTATGAATGTTCATGTTAGTTCCTGCCTCATAGTGACGCTTAAAATGTCCATATTTATCTCCACCACTTTCCATAGAGTTTTCTTTGTATCCTATCACATTCATAATATAACTAGCCCTTCAGATTTTCTATTTATTTTATTAAAAAAAATTTGGGGAGGGCTTTTATTGCCTGTAATTGATAGTGATAGCTGAAAGGTGACAGGAAAAGTAGAAGAGAGAGGGGATGACACGCAGAAACAGGTCACAGGTCAGAGGTCAGGGTCAAACCCATGGCCGCTGCAGCAAGGACTCAGCCTTACTGCCGTACCTATTATAATTTTATGAGTAATAACATTTTTGTCTTGTCGAGTTTGACTGCGGTTGTAGAAAACATCGATTCAAGATCACTACATAATCATTTATTCTCTAAACTCATAAATTCTCTCTCATAGAAATCTCACCGCACAACTGCGCCTATGAGCTGTCAATCACTTACAGAATTAGTCTGGAGGTCAGTCCCAAGCGCAGTCAAGGAGCCTACTGCGTAATGAGCGACTGCCTTAGTAAATCAGGAGCTACATACATGCACATTGTAGCCTCAAAAAGGACCCTAGAAATCTTGAAAAAAAATCAAGCTCAGACAGCTATCCATCACGTACCCTCAACACATTCTGAACAAGCATCATAGCACCTGTCTAGTGGAAAGGCTCTGTGGTTCTTTTGCCTTCCGTCCTCTGATTGATAGGAAGTGAAAAGCAGGAGCTGCCAGGGTTATAATTCCTGACATTACCAGCAGGACTATAAAACTAGCTACTGCCGGACATGCAGAGAAAGAGGTAACAACTGGAGTTGTCCGAGAGGAGGCCTGCAGGGTGTCAAGACGTCTGATTTATTGATGTGACTTCATCATGAGGTGAAATGACACCATCATTTTTTATCAACAATGCCACTGCTGGACATCAAAGAATAAAGTATTTATAGAACATATGGGGCATGTACTGCAACTGAGGAGGGTTTTTTTTCATACCAATATAGCAGTTTTGAGAAAATATTGACTAAAAGTAGTAACTTTTTTACCATTGATATATATATGAAAAAAACTACAATAAAAATATAGCATTACGCAGGACTGCAGACTTGCACTCAGGTTAGACTTACAACTGTAATTGTAAATTATAAAATCATTCAATTTTATGATAAAATGGATAAAATAATTTTCAGTAATGTGTATTTTAAAGTAAATAAAAAATGATAATACAAGTAAAAACATGTTGACAAATGATATTTTAAGAAACTACTTAAAAGATCTTTCATTAATTAAGCATAAGAGATTGCTGGTTGAGCCAAGCTTTACCTATTCAAGTTTGAAGTGTGCTGTCTCCAATAGCTCGTGGAGGAAAATCCCATTTTTTAGCTGCCAAATGCTCAACTTTGTTCACCAGCTAGTTGTTTTTAGGCCATATTCACTACATTCGGTGTTGCAGCGATTATTATGGTGTTTATTTTTAAAGCAAATGGACGCAAACCAAAGGAATATTCTTGGTATCGCTGTTTTGCAGCGTAGACTGCAAACCAGACACAGACATTTAAAGTTTGGTTCATGAACTCCATCTGGATAGCGCCTCTTTCAGTGATATATTTCCGCTGGATTGGCCAATGCAGTGTGACATCAGGTGATGTTTCTCCAAAAGTTGATTTCAACTTCTTCACCGTCGCTGCTTTTCTTGAATGGGAGAAGGTTTTATTTCACTGCAGCACCTGATTTGGTCTGAGTAAGCCCTAAGCCTATGCAGTGAAAGGACTTGGACTTGGTCTTCAGATGTCAGGTTATTTAAAAATTCAGCATGCACAAACCTAAAAGGCTTGTGACTGACATGCAATTTACTTATAAAAGCCTCACTTGGATTTCACCTTAAGATTTGAGTTGAGACTTTTTTGACAATTTGTGACTTGACTGGTATATTATATTCAGAAGGAATGTAAATATTTAATCTTCCAAAGTTTTTCTTGATATGTTCATCTAAGCTATGCAGGATAGGTTTGGACTTTTTGATGTATGAATTTTCAAGTAATTTTAAAAGAACCGGTGTCACTTATTTCACAATACTGAGCTCAATCCTCAGCAGAGCCCTCCATTTATTCCTTTAGAATGATGTTAACTGACCAGGAAGCTCAGGTACAGAGCCCTCTAGCATACACATGCCGTCCCTTGCTGGCTCTCTATGGGAGGCAGCAGTGCCATGAGCATGGAGCGACCCCCGCTGACTCCCAAATCAAAAAAGAGTCGAGGTTCTGAAGGGTTCTACTAGCCACCTGGACCCCTGCTTGTCTGTGCCTCTGTTTCTGCTTTCCCATGGCTGTGTGAGAGGGCATGAATTATTAACCCGGCTAAAATAAAAAGCTCTGCTTCGACCAGGCCTCCTGTAGCCATGAATAATGGAAGAGGCAGCTCAACTACAGGCGTTTGGTGAGTCAAACACTGGGCCGTGATGGATGGCTAAGGGCCCACTGCGTCCCCCCCTCCTCACCTACTATCCACTTCAGGTCTACCACACCCTGAAACCCAAAACACACGTCCAGATAACCTCTATTAATCTCTGGAAGTGCTACAGCTTGAGCCGTCTTGCCCTGCCTCAGCACATCCCACTCGACGATTTGGCTTCCTGGAGGGATTTTAGTTTGTTGTTTGTTTGTCTTTCTCCTGCCTTTGCTTGCCTTTGTTTTGCTTCTCCCTCGCACTTTTGAAGTCAGAGGACCCGACTCAAACATGCTCTTTCTTACCTTTAATGCTAAAACCACGAGGATGAGATGGATACATGCGAGCTGGATTCCTGCTCAGTTCCCAAGAGGCTGCGTTTTCTAATTTGTACCAATGAACTCACTTGTGTACAATCACACTGTTTATTATGAAAGTGATAATTGATTTTCCATTTGCAAAGTTGTCTTGTGCTCTGCGCCTCCATATCTAATTTCTCACCTAAACTGCCAACTGAGAACAGTGTCATGATAATATTGCTTCTATATTTATTTTGATCCATTTATAAACATATTTTTTATTCTCAACTGAGAGTTTATATGTGATCTTATTAAATATATAAATATTATATATTTATATCATTATTATTATTATTGTTTTATTATTATTCAAGTGAATCAATCTGACGCATGTTCTTTCAACCCTGTAATTCCAGGGTTTTGTGAAATTATACAGTAGGTCCAAGCAGAAACAAGACAAATGTCTTGTTGCATATATTAACGTGACACATCATGTATATTCATGAATAATTTTGACACTAAATATTCTGTTTTGTAGTTAGATTTCTTAGCCTTAAAACAAGCTCAGATCTCAGCATGTGATGAAAACCCCAGAAATATTTAATGGTTATTGATGAGAGAGCACAGGCATCATAGAACAGTCATCAAACTATGGTATATTTATGAGTGCTAATCATTTCTCAATCAAATATGTGAAATTATAATTAAATTGCCATAGAAATTACATGGTTTGTCAGTCTGAAATATGTCTGATACTTTGACAAAACAATCATCAAAATGGCATAATGTCATAAAGGAAAACATGGATTTTTTCCTTTTCATTTTAATTGTTATCAACAACAGTAGCTTAATGTTCAATTCATTATTGAGACATGAACAGATTTGTCTCAGGTCTTATACCAATTAGCCTAAGTCTTGTCCACACTCAACATTTATTGTTTTGGGGTTGTTTTATAGTCCTGTAGGAAATCATCATTAAAAATCGAATCTCTATTAAGCAAAAACAAACTTTTTAGCCGTCAACAGTCTGCTGGTTCTTGATTTTGGCCAAAATTTATATTGAATCTTAGGGTGCCTCTCATACCTGTAGTTTAGTTTAATTTGTCTGGACCAAGGAAAAATATATATGATACATTTTTGGCTTTTAGTTCTGATACGTTTCATGTTCATACGGGCTATTTACAAAGGAACCAACAGCTGTAAATGATAGGTAACTCATTGATTGGACAGTTTATACGACTGTCATCCTGCATCATCAGCACTACATGGACAGACGTGGGGACTTAAAATTCTGAAGACTGACAGCAAGCCATGCATCATATTTCCTAACCTTATTTGTTTATTTATCTTCTCTGATGAGCTCATACAATAGATTATGGTATTATATGTTGAGACTGCAACATTGACTTTGTACGGTATATCAGAAATATATCAGCAGATGGATTTAACAGTTTAGCTTTTGATATTCAGTTCAGTTGACAGGTTTCACACCAGACTAAACTAACAGAACCAAAAGCCTTTGTTTAAACCAAACCAAACAGGCTAGGTGTGAAAGCAGAAAAGGGAATACAGATACTTGACCGTTCTCTCCACAATACATTAAGCTGATGGGCTCCTGGATTGACAACCTGATCTACTTGGCTCTACCAAATTAGCAACATAAGTAAAAATACGATAAACTATATGTAGTTTGACTTCTACAACAAAATGCAAGATGTAGCTAAACAGATAGCTGAACTTAACTCACCCCTTTCTACTGTTGTAAGCCGATCGTTTCAAGAAACACTTCAGTGACTCTCCCCTATGAGTCACATTTCCTCTCCTGCTGCCTCCTACTCTGCCTGCTCTGCTATGCTCTCATCTGAAGTTGATAAAAGAAATCTTCTCTAGTGCTCTCTTTAGCTCTTGTTTCTTTCTTTTTTCCAACAATTATAAAGCCCTGCTCTGTTACTATAGGCAGCACAACTATTATCCAAGACCATGGATTTTAGAGTAATTTGTGTTGGCTCTAATCTATGACTATTAAGTATTACAAATTAAGAGTATCTATTTTCTGCCCTTAATTAGACCCACCTTGGTTGTCTTAACCTTGTTTCCTGTACTGCAGCTCCATCCTTTGAGATCTGGCAGCACTTTACACTCTTCCCCATCCATGCAGGGATGCATCTGGCACCACCACTTCTGTGCAACTATGGAGGCTGTGAGGAAAAAGAAACAAAATAGTAAGGAAAAAGTCGGAGAGGGTACTGGAGGCAATTAACAACCTGCTGTTTGAAACTGTAGCATTATTCTGCCCTGGCTGAGGCAACAACAAGCACCTTTGGTTTCTATATTCATCACAGTGATTGAAGAGAGCGTCTTTTGATCTCTGGCTGACAGTGGAGACCCGTAGGTCTGAATTACAGGGCGTGGGTCAATGTCAAGCCGGTGAGTGTTGTGGGCAGGTGCGTGGAGTGTGAGGAGGGTGGATGTTTGTACGTAGGAGGGGTAATAAAGTGTGCAGCAGAGCTTGGCACGTCAAGGTCTTAAGTTGCTCTGAGGAGGCCTACAGGGGAGAAACAGCTTCCCCTGACATTTCCAGTGAAAAAAAAAGATCTGTCAAAATGGAGGAAGCTCTTGTCAGAGCCATTACAGTGAAAAGAGGAGATAGGGATCGATTCACCTGTAACTGATGCCACTTTTGACATGATATTAAATGACCTGGTCTTCTGTCTTCTCCGCCCAACACCAGGTCTGATATAACCTCAACAACAGAGAAATGGATGAAGTGGTGTGTGATTTGATTTTGAAGATTTTGAAGCCACCGGGACACAACAGCAGGATCATAAAAATCAAATTTCTTTTTTTACTTCTTTCATATAATAAACCTCAGACCCAAATAATCAGTGAAATAAGCACCAGAGGCACAGTGACAGGTGTGACAGTTTTGCACCGTACCACATTTTGTCCCTAATCAGAAGTTCAGTCTCAAATCATTACCAAAACTGTAATGAGAAGCCTGGCATACCGTCTACACAAGATGGAGCCGCTCTTGTTGTTCCCGCCACCTGTCCAGGGAAGCAGGAGCATTTGACAGTCTGGGATCTCTCTTCGATCTTGTTCTTGTTGCAGCACCGGTGTGCAGCAATTACCTCACAGGTTCCCGCTTTCACATGAACTGAAAGCACAAACATACACAATGGTTAGAATGCACCTGACGGCTCTCCACCCAGGTAATTCCACTTTTTATGATCTGCATCTCATAAAGCATTAAAGCAACCAATAATAGATCTTCAGAAGTATATGCTAGTAAACATTGTATCTTTTCTTTTATGTACACAGGTGTTAATTTTTCTGTTTTTTTTTTTTTTTTTGATAAGGCTTGTGTTATCCCTTGTTTTTTGAATTTGAACAAATCCCATGAAAAGACCAGAAAAACAGCATTAGCATCGACCTGTTCTCTGTCTGTGTCACTCAGCTGCAAGCTCATTTGTTTCTGCTGCAAACAGGAGATGAATACACATTATTATATTTACATTTACATATTTACAGTGCATATGGAATTGATTCAAAATAAATACAGTGCCCATGCCATATTCATCATAATTAAGGACCAAGGTAACCAGTGTAACTGTGTGGCTCACTGATGTGTTTTTGAACTATGGCACAGAGGAATAAGATATTTCAGGCGTTGGATGCACAAACAATAAGAAGGATTAATTCATTATTGGTCTGGGCTATTTATGGGATTATGTTCACTGAGGTACTTGATAGAATCTTAGCAAGTATATGTATATAAATCATGACCATAAAGCAATAGTTTAACATTTTGGAAAGTACGCTTATTCATTTTCTTGCCGGTAGTTAGTTGAGAAGATGACTCTGCGGTCTGTATGGTAAATATGAAGCCACTGTTGGAAGCCTGTTAGCTTAGCACAAATTCTCATTCTTATTATCATTTCTTGGCACAGTCTTGTTTCAAACATTCAAACAGAATGGCTACTTGAAATCCAGGTCATCTCCCAGGTGTAGGAGCCCGGCTTTGAACCCCAGTGCAGCCCCACCTGCTCACGTATCCTTGAGCAACATACTTAATCCACTGACCCTCCACCCTAACCAGAGGACGAGGAGAGAATTTCTCCATTGGGAACTACTAATGTAGTTACATAACATGAAAAACACACATACATCTAGAAAATGACTTGATTAACATCACTAAACTGCTTATTTACGTGAAAGTACATTACAATATCAATAACAAGGACACTCAAACATCAATACTGGCCTTTATTTTATATTCATTACTTTTCTGCATAGACTCATTACCATTCTGAGCATGTTTGTGTATTTACACGTAACAATCAGGATTGGATGGGTGAAAAAATAAATAAAAAAGCATTTGAAAAGTTTTGACATTCCTTTCAGATAAGCCTTAATTATGCCTGTAAAGATTTTCAATTTAGAACTTGACTTGAAAATAGATTGCAGTGAGCCTCCATCTTCCCATTAGCTAGCAATCCAAAAATCTCATCTACAACATTAAAAACATTTTGCTTCCAATCAATAAGGTGCTATTCACATTCACACAAAAGGCAAGACAACAATTGCCGATTGAGTGCTTTTCACCGAGCTGAAACTTACTGATGCAAAAACAGGTCAGGCTCCATGCCCTTGATGTGATTATCTTTAAGCCACCAGCACGCCCCCCGGTCAAAGTTAATTTCAAAAGTTGGAATAGCTCGAATAGAATATTCAAACTTTGTTTAAGAGATAGATGCACATGGACAATAGGCAATCACAAGAGGTGACACGAGCAAAGACAATCATTGTAAATCACCTGATTATAAGGAAAACAAATAACGTGCTTGCTGTCAGTGACAAGAAAGTGCTCACTAATTTTAACTGGGCAGAATTACAAATAACAATACAGTAAGACAATATTTACCTATTACTCCTACAATATGTTCTCAACCTTGTCTGCAAGCCTTGCACAATGATGCGCTTCAATGGGTGTATCTTTGCCGTATGTAAGCCTACCCTGTTGTGGTGTGATATGGAAGAAAGAAAGCTACCGTGCAAGCTGCAGCTAGGTCTGGCCTGAGTCTCTCGACTCATTAAGGTGCAGGAAGCGACTGGTTGGGCTGCCCGTGTGGAGAGAACTCCTGATTAAAACTGGAGCTGCTGGCAAAGGTCGCTGACTCTGAGGCTGGACCCAAAACCACCATGCAGTGTGGACAGGATGAGAGGTCAGAGAGCAGGGCGCGGTGGTCAGCCCAAGCTGGTAACAATCCATATGAGAAGAAACAACCATGAACTGCCCGACTACTTTTCTAACTATATACTGAGTGTGAGGTCTTTGAGGTAATGGAGCAGAGTAAAGTGTATTAAAAACTAGGCAGTAAGAATTTAACTGAGACTAAACTGAACTAATGAAGATCAAAAAAATATTACTTTACAATCATCATTGTCATCATCATTTCTTTAGGAATATATTAAGAAAATGTAATGTATAATTTGATTTCATAAGGAAATAAAAGAGTATACTTGTTTCTTCTTTCTCTTCCAAATGTAATTAGGTTGCCTCTATTTGACTTGTTTAGCATTTTATTGTACAGGTTCAGTGTTTGTGTGAAGCATTTAGGGAGATATAAATATTCAAATTTATGCTTTCTTTCTTATTATTCATTTTTGTTCTAATTTAGAACTTAGCTTGAACTCGTATTTAATGATTATGACTACTAAAGGGTTCTGGGTAGTCCTTTGTTTGGGAAAAAAGAATATTAACAAGGTATAATAATATATTGTTTTTAATGTAGGAACATAGACATACATCTCAAGCTCGCTATGGTAGAAGTTTTGTCCCCTCTGCTATAGCATTACTCATCAAAACTCCCTGGTAGCTGTGTAAATACCAGAATGTATGTACAACTGTGTTTAGATATCTATCTTGTGTTAATGTTGTGTGTATATGTATGAGATTATGTACAGACTGTGGCAACACATTTCCTGGAACGGACAGTAAAGAATCTTTCTTATAAATAATTTAATATTTATTTACCAAGAGATGTGTGTATTACCACTATTTTTTTTTTTCTTCTCACGCTTATTTCTGGCAAAACGTATGAATACAAACATGTGAGAGCTGAAGCTCTGCGCAAGTGAGAGGTCAATGTTTTTCTCAAGGACTCTTTGACAATGGAGGAAGGACCATTGAACCTCTGATTCTCTGGATGTACACTGGTCTGTCTAACCACCAGGGTCACCCTGTTCACAGTACAAACCTTGCTCTCTATAAGGCATCAATGGGAGCAACTGAGTATGAAAGACATGAAGTGTAACACATACATGTAGGAGAGAGGCTGCCTGTTTTTTCCGTCTGCTCTGTGTGTGTATCCAGGCAGCTGTGAAAATGGCTCACAACACCTGTGATCAATACATTTCTATTAAAGCACTTAGGACTGTCATCAGTTAGAATCACCAGGCATGGGGGGGGTGAGAGACAAAGAAAGGTGAAAGGACAGAGAGCACTAATGAGAACTGGCAGAAGGCCCAACCCTTCAGCCAATCAATACCACTTTGAAGCAAAGCGCTCTTCTCTGCAATCGTATTCATCGATCTCTGATTGATAAATGCCAATATGCAACCAGAACCAGAGCTGAAGGGGAAAAAAGAGGGAAGCTCACCTTGTTCTACCCTTCTGTTAAATAATCTACTGTACACCCAGACGTCAGACACTTTATTAGGTTAAATTCATTAGTACAGCAAATGTTTTAGAGGTTGTCTCCTAGCACTGAATGACTGGGAATGATGGGATTACAACTGGGTGACAAAACATGAAACCTGTATTTATATACCGTAAAAAGCAGGGTCCTAATTAGTCACAGGTCCACTTTACTAGCCTTGTGTGACAAATTACCACAAGTCTCAATTAGAGGCCTGGTCTGGATTTTAGAGAAATTCTTTGGATGTATATAACCTTTTAAAGCCTGCTTGAGTGAATTCTAAGGTGCTTAGATCACCTACACCAATATAAATGTTTAACCTTTTCTCAATATGGACATACTGCACATCATTAGATCAGTTAGATTCTCCATAATTCATCACTCAGTTCATTGTATAGAAACCATGAACACCAAAGTATCAAATGATCAGATGAGTGATTCGTAAATATTTCATTCCATTCATACTGGTTTATATCATTGACAGTATAGTTAATACAAGCAATCTGATAGTAATTCCTATCTTTGATGAGCAAGAGATTTGTACAAAAGGAATTAAAGGCTTGTCCCAAATATAGGCAGGTTGAGTTCACTGATTGGAGCAAATAAAAGCCAGAGCTATTAACTTAAGTTTTACTGTATTGTTGCATTCACGTTGATAATAATTAAAGAATATATCATTTGTTTAGATGTTTATTTGGAGCACAAATATTACATTCTCTTTTTGTGGCCATTAGTGATAGCACCATTATATTATAGTTTATTCACACTGCACAATTTATGTTCAGCACCAATGTTCAGTGCTGTTTACATCATATTGTTCAGACTGTCAGGAAAAATGTTTGTCCAGTGTCCTCGTTCTAATTCCAAGTCGGAGATATTGTGCATTTCTCGCAGTGACAATAACTCCCACTTGGTGACAAGAATTACAGACATGCCAACCAACTGTTGGCAAAATGAATGATATTAAATCAAATTCAATATTATCACCAGAACAATTGAATAAGCTTGTTTGTATGATTGTTAATAGATATAACACCGCAAAAGTATCTTATTTAGCCTATTTGTGACTTCCTATTATGCAAGAAGCACTGTGCCTTAAATGTATAGAGGCAGAGAGTAAAGGTTGCCATGTAGAAAGAAAGAACTATTGGTAAGAAAGAAAACTTTGGTACTGAATGTTAAAAATACTGTCATTAAACACAATGTGGGGTTTTGCAGAATCGTCCAATATCAGCGTTCTTCTCTGATGATAGAGTTGATTTGTTCTGCTCTCTATAGAGAGGTTGAAAAAATGACAATGGTTTGTTGTGACAGCTGATATAAAACCTGATATAGGATTCAAGGGGTCGCCAAAGTTACCTTGATAAATTCACAATGTTCTGAGATTTTTTAAACTTGAAGAAATCAATTTGACCAAACATGACAACAAATGAACAAATAAATATATTCAAACAAA